TAACAATTATTTTTTAAAAATATTAAATGAAAATTAAATTTTTAAACATATCTTTTACAAAAATTATGAGAGTAACTTACAAAAAGTATTTATTATATATTATATATATTCGTTAATTTACATAATTAAATAAAATTTTTATTATAAAATAAAATTGTGGTAAATTATTTTAACTAATTGTAACTAATAGAAACAAAAGAATAGACCGAACTGAAACAGTAATAAAATTTCAAATGCTTGCCAACCTAGCCAGAGCTTCACCAACAGTACTGTTTACTGTTTTTTATCATAGGGCAATGCCAAGACATTCATAATTGAGTCAGTGGCGTATTGTTATGTATCTTCATGCAAATATCCTCTCGACCTTCTCATTGACTTGCCCACTATTTTAAGTTCGTGCTTGGAATGCGATTGTTTTAAAGAAAGAGTAGCAGCACGTTTCTTGGTGATAATGACCGTTCATATTCATTCATAATTTAGTAGCATTTGTTATGCTTGTTCTTGGAAATATCCTCTTGACTCTCTTATTGACTTGCCTATAACTTTAAATTCTTTTTTGGTGTAAATGTAAAATTTTATAAATATTAATTTAATACACAAAATAATCATTTTGTTACATTGTAAGAGTATCAAGAAGCACAAAAAATAAAAACAAAATAAATTAGTTTTTTAATTGACTAAATAAAAAAAATACATTTCATGTACTAATTATAGAACAACATTATTATGTATATGTACGGCCATCTCTCTTTTTCTACTGGTGCATGCTTTGCAAAACGTAGTCCCTGCAATAATGGATCTATTGTGATCAAACTTTATATCTGTATATACCCACACCGTACTTTGCTTTTCGTTTTTTTCTTTAAGAGCGGTATTGGATTTAGGTAATTAAACTTTATATTTCTGTCCCCAAACTGCACTCTGCCTTTCGTGTTTTCTTGGAGTCATCCTGCTTTCGGGATTTTTGTTCTCTGGTTCTGCAACAGATTGGATGAAGTTGAAAGGCTTTTCCATTGTGAAAAGTTGGGCTATGACAAGTTAAGTCATGAGGGAAAGAGGGAGGAGTCCAAGGCAAAAAGAAAAAACTTTGAGCTGTCAGATATACAGCTGGCAACGCAAAAGAAGTGGATGAAGAAAAAAAAAAAAGCAAAAACTTAGAAAATATAATTCATTATTCTCAATTATTAGTAGATTTTTTTTTTTGTTGGGGGAAAAAATAAGTGGACTAAAAAAATAGAGTTTCCTTTCATAAATATCTTAGCATATTACATTTTTTTAATTATTTAAGGGTGGATGGAAAAACTGTTTGATAGGGGGCACAGCTCTCCATCAATAATTAAAATTAGTTTTTTAGTTGACAATAAGTAAAAAAAAATTTCATCACGTATCTTAAGGGTGTAAAATAAAAATATAATAAATATATATTTTATAATTAATATTTATTAAAAATATAATTAAT